ACGTCTTGTTTTTCCCGTGCCGAAGCTTGCAAGAAAATGCTGTTCGTAGGCTGACAGTGGAGCATGTTTTATCGAGAAATCTTGAAAGTATTTTTCGGAGAATTTTCACTTCATCACCTTAAATCTTAACTAAGTAACCACATTTTTTAAATACAGTAATTTACGATAAGAAGTTATTTGTCATTAAATTTATGTTATGCTGTTAATTGACTTTATTTTTGTTAATATTAGATGGTTGGAGGCAATTGGCAGGAAGCCTTGCTTCACCTAGGTTTCGTGCTAGTTGGCACTTGTCAGCAAGGCGTATCTATAGCCTGGAAGGAACTCATGTCCCTTCTTAAATTTGAACCCGCTTCACCCAGTAATGCAGTCAGAGATGTTACCACTGAGCAGTTATTTAGGCCCGCGATTGACCTCCTGTAGGACTGTAGTTGATACTTTGATTAGACACTAGTAACTAGTGTGATTTGTCCAATCCTTTCTTTGGTGCAGACTGAATTCTATCAGCCAAGTTTGCAATGTGGTCACCATTCTAGGTAGCTCGCCATCACGATGTCGATTGATTTCTTTTGTTACTGTTGCCTCAAAATGCAGGCTTCACTGGTAATAATCCGCATTTCGTAGGCAGAATAACATCAAAACATCGTGTCATTCAATGCAGTTATTGCCAAGAACTAAGAAAGGTTTTCAGTCTGTAAAAAATAAACATTTTACTGGAAACGGAGTGAATCACATGCATGACATTTTAAGACAAAAATCATAACAAGCCCCCGGATTTAGGATTATTCGAATCCAGTGCCTTATGCACTGATTAAGAATTAGTCTTATTTTAGCAAATAAACTGAAGGTGTTCATTCGTATCAGATTTCTTTACTACTACTTCATTCTCATCGGAAAGTGCATGATTTCAAGTGAATAAAAAATAACTAATTCACCATAAATTTGTTTTAGATATGTGATAACATCTCACTAATATGGCAGATTGTATGCTGAAAACGTCTTATGAATGACAGTAGTCAGTAAGAGAATATTACAGCAAAGTTTGGCGTAGTTGTATTCTCTGAGCTGGATGGTTTAGTCACAAAGCGTTCATTATCTTTCTGGACAACATTTTCACCGCTTACTTAGTTAATGAAGGCAATGAAAGCTTCCTAGTTAAACCATTCAGCTCAGAAAACAAACCTACACCAGTATCACCTAGCTGAACTACAAGTCTTCAATATAGCAAACCTTCTTTTATCTTTATACTATAAAAGAGACATGAGAATTAATTTGCTATGGTAGATGTAACTCACCAAATTATCTACTTGCATACTCTTCTGTTGTTTCTAAACTTACTGCCTTATTGTAAATGTACAAATGACAGGTCATTTAACTGTTTGTTGCTGCTAATTTTAACCAAAGACATCCGAGATGTCTTTTGGACTTCATTATAGTCCTGCGATGAATTTTAATAAAAAGTGGAGAGCAAATTAAATTTCGCCGAAAAATTTTTACATCATGGAAAATTCCCATTGTAACATATAGAAAATCAAAACAAATGATTCAACGAAGAGATTCTTTTCAACGAATTTATCATATATATATGGTTTTTAAGAAGTTATATCCGGTGAGGGAATTGAATCATAGGTGTGAATGCATAAAATAATAATAATATGAAATGCAATTAAAACTTAAATGTTTGTGATTATAATCGTAGTTAGATGTCAAGTGGGAAAGCAAATTAATGTCATATATAGAATAATTCATAGGATGGATAGAACTTGAAAAAGGTGTGCAATTATAAGATTAGTAGACAAATCGAATAAAATAAAAACGTTACGTAATATTGTGTGAAATTTAATAGCACAGAATTTAATGTTGTAAAAGAGGAATTGATTTTGAATTACACGTGGAACAAGTGAAATAATACCGGGGACAGTTAAAAGTGAGAGTAGTAATAGTAACAATTGACGTAATGAAGGAAGAGTACACAAACTGAATAGATAAAATGAAAAAATGAAAAACTGGTAGAGCCAAATATGATTAGGGATTACCATACTTTAGCATAGAGGGATTAAGACCATGAAAGTTGGAGGGGTTGAACGAACTTTTTCTGTACACAGAGATCTGGTTTTTCTGTTTCGATAGCCAAAACTTCAGCAATACAGATGATTTGGGTATGTAGGGATTTGGGTAAATTACTATTTGCCTTGTAGATGACTTTAAAGGTGGAGGCTATAGAGATAGGGTGATCATTATCGACCAGATGTTCAATGATCGCGCTTCTTATTGCTCCACTTCCACCTTTTTGTAACCATGCAGGATTGTGTTCTCGCACCCTCTTGGACAAAACTCGAGTCGAACGACCGATATACCTAGCTCCACACGAGCAGGTGAATTGATAAACACCCACAGAGTTGGTAAACAGCGGGATCTTGTCCTTCAGGTTATTGCACAGTAATGGTCGACAAGTAAAGGCTATTCTCAGAGATGCAGCAGGGAATGTTCTTTTCAGGGACTGTGATATCCTTCGTTTTATGATATCGGAAGCTAAGTCTCTTTTGAATTTCAAACTCATGTAAAGTATCTTCTTGGGTACGGCTGATTGTTTATTAATAGTAAACCTGATGTAATATCTAAAGAAAATCTTACAAAATAAACACTTGGAAGAATTTTAGTTCATTTTATCAGAATTTAGAGAAACTTTAATCAAGCAGAAAGCTAAATTAATAATTGTTAACAAGTTGTCTTCTAATATACATCAGTTTCTTCAGTTTAGTTTCATAGATATACAAGTGTTTTAGAGACCGACCTGATGATTCAAATAAACTGATTGAAAGCATCGGTAATAACTTTCGTTTGTTATAAATATATCATAAAATGTGTATTTTGTAGCATTATTCCTATAAACCATCAGCCTTTTCATTCAACAGCTGTTTTTTGCTTAAAAAGGTAACTTTGAAGTAAGTATGTGCATGCACTTCGTTGAAATGAGAAACTGACACTTATATTGTTTTCCAAATGAGTTCATTTTGGACTGTACTCAAAACTTCCGACACCTTTGCAGTATCCACGATTATATCCGGAAATGTAGAGACACGCTGGTCTATTTTTCTAAGTAGAGTAATTGAAATAAAATTTATTTTGAAATTGATGATAATTATTGCTTTGATTCACTGCTTTATAAACTTGAGCTTTCATGAGTAATTAAAAGGAATGAGCTTTGTCCTACATGCCGAGTTGAGAGTAGGCAATCGCTACTCGTAGGTGGGAATAGTGGATTTGTTCTTGATTCGAGAACAATCGGTAAGATTTCTTCCTAAAAGCAATAATAATAAAATTCCATTCTACTATTCTATTTATCCTGTATTCGCGTTAAAACTTTCCTTTTTAGATAATTCTGTTTGACGTTTCATATGACACTATTCAATAGATGGGTCTGTAATACTGTAATCTATCTAGAGTGACGTCTCTTCTTCTTTGTATTTGCTGAATTTCTGTTTGTTGGGTCTTTGATATTATATAAAATATCGTTTAGGAACTTCATTAATTTAATAAAAAAATAATTTTGTTTGATATAACACAGAGTGATAGAGTATTAACTATTTACCAATAACGTTTTGAGTGCAACTCACTGTTCTTACCCAAATAATTTTTCGAATTGTTTTGAATGTTTCTATTACTTCTTGTCCTTTGGTTTCACTGGTAATACTACTTTTCATATCTCTATTACGCATGTTGCGTCATTCCTACTTCGGAGGTCATTTATGGGTTCGACGAACAAAGATTCAGTCACTGTGAGCTCAGCTGTATGAGTCACCTCATAAGATTGGTGTTGGTCAGATCATCGGAACATATAAACTTGGCTATCGAATGACTATTTCAGAGAAAACCTCGAACCTTTCTGTACATGCACTGGCGCACAATTACACAGTAGGATGAGCAGGAGCTACAGCTTCAGGATGTCGTACAACAAGTTTGAGGGAGAGATTGATCACTTAATCTCTGATACTTCTCGATTCATCAATAAACCCCATCCAGACAATAAGCAATTGAACAAAACCAATAGTTCAGCGAAGAGGTATACAAGGAGTTGAACTTGATTTGCCGTTTGTTTGTTTTTCTAACACAAGATAGCTCTCGGATTTCATAATTCCATATTTCCTTTCTTTTCCATGTGCATCCTGATTGAAACTCATTCACTAAATTATTGATCTTATTACGTATTTCTAATACATTTATTCAATTCTTCTTATGAATTGACTAATAATAATAACTATGATAATGACAACTCATCATCGTTGTTACTACCTTCTTCCATGAAAAGATTGTGTATGAAATTGCTCAGTTAAAGAAAATGAATTCGCTGAAAACAACCGCTTAGCTGAACTGTGTATTTTGTTTCCATTAATCTCTGATATCAGATCCAAGCCGAATTAGTGAAGTAGAATTTCTGTAATACCAGTACCAGGTATATGGAAAATATTAATAAAATTAAATATTTTTACTTTATTTTTGATTACAGCTTGATGCAACACCGTATTTTCAGTACAAGTATGGAATTTTCAGCACGGATATCGGTAGCCCAAATTTTGCAGGCCGACCATTTATATCAGGTGTGCGTTGGCAGGGGATCGAACCCCGGACCATTTGCATGGTCGGCGAGAGTCCTAACCACTGTGCCACCGACGCACAGTGATGAGAAATAAAAGAACTTTGTTAACTAAGTCAGAAAGCTTTGTAATTACTTTTATATATTTGTGAGCAGTTAATTGTGCTCAGAACATCATCAGTAAATAAGTAACACTCTCTTAAATCTAAAAACATTATTCTTTGTCTTATTACCATTACGTCTGTGTTTATTGTTTAGCATTTTCAAAGATGAAATGACACGCGAAAGAAAAACATCATAATTTCTTTCATCCGCCTTCTTCCTGTTTTTTTTCAGTCTAAATAAGAATAGTTACACATCTGTGAAAGAATATTCTAATTATTTTTCAAAATATTCTATTTTTCAGATTCTGGTGACAGTGGACAGTCATCTAGGCTGGATAATTATGAAGTAAATCCATATACTGGTTCTATGATTTTACGGAAGACTTCCCCAAGTGTAACATTTAAACAAAATGAATCAGAACGTTGTCGACTAGATGAATATTTACTTGATAATAATAGTAATAACAACAACAATGTTACTTTAATTACAGACAATAACAATAATAATAATCAAATTAACAATTACAATCAAAACACAGAAAGTGAAAATAATTCATCACGCTTTAATGAAAATAAATCAACAAAGAATAATGTGTTAATACCTACAAATGTTAAATTAATCCCTCCAAATTCTATATCAGAGCAACAACAAATTATTAATTTAAATGAAGCAGAATTAGCTTACGGTAGGCAGGATTAGTTTTTGTTTAAGTTTTAATCTATTTACACACATAATTCATTAATAATTTGTTTTCATTTATGAATTTACATTCGTGGATACATGGAGATTTACGTGTATTCGAAATTTTATATGAGAGACTGAAACTGTCAGATAGAAGCTAGAAATTATTCATCAAGTATTCCACAGTAATTAACATTTTTATGGGCTCACTCAATCATTTGGTTAGTCCTGTGTATTAAATAATAAGCACATTGTTATATGATAATCGTGGCAGAATGATTTATTTAAGAATATCTGATGAATCATCTATTCACCATATTATTTACTTATTTGAGTATTTCCATCAGTTTTTTAATTGTTATCTTCGGTCGTGCTCTGTGTAACAACATGCTAGCATTTGCAAGTCTTTTGATATAATCCTTGTTATCATTTGTCTTTGTTTCTGGTTGATTCTTATTTTCAGTGCTTCACTTTACTATTCCGTGATGATGGATTATTGAAAATAATCTGTTGTTTCACAGCAACTGACATTTTGATTGAATGAATACAAGCTTACGCTGTGGAGTGACTACTTGCTCTTTCACCGTTTGTTGAAAATGCGTTTTGTTTTGTTTATACCTCGCAGATAGAGATTTGATCCTATTTTGTTGGGAACATTCTTCTTCGTCTTCAGGTTATTTATTTTTGATTTACAGTGAGTATTTTATGCCTCAAATGTCTTTAGAATTCCCTGTCACCTGACAGAGTTGCTGAGGTGTTTCTTGTAGTTTGATATCAGTTATCATGAGCTGCACCACACAATACCGTGTTTTCTTAAAGTTGAAATATGATCTTCGACTATACATGACTCATGTAGAAGAAGGCTGTAAATCATGCAGAAAATGATGACTTCATTTAGTTGATTGTTTTCCTGCTTTCACACCAGAATACTTCGGTTTCCGTCATTAGAATGGTATCCGTCGAATAATAGTATTGATGATTTAGGATAATTCACGTTATTTTTTACATTCTCCTAAGGGATTTTTAGTTGCACTTAAATATTTACAGTATTTACTTATCCCACTTAACTAATCAGCATATAAGACTGCATTAATTATCATGAGTAAAATTGTTAGAAGGGTTAATATGTCTCACTTTAAAAAAAAAACTTGAAACAATAATTGTCAAGTGTTCATTTGCACAGATTTGAGTGGTTACATGTTTGACACGAGCTGAAATAAGTTGGAGAGCCATTGAAAAACCAGGTAATACTGGACAGTTGTTTCATCCTAGTCTGGGACTTTTCATCAGTACACACAAGACGAGCTTTTAGACCATTCAGCCACTGAGACCTGATCCAATGGCCTATGAATTCCAACGTCTTAGCCAACAATTCTTTTACTAATGTCAGTTTGAGATCCAACATAAAACTATACTGACTCGAAAATATTATCAAACACAATAAGAATATAGAAAGTATTAGATCCATTACTTTCACATTTTTTGGACTCAGACAGTGGATTGAAAATAGATGTTTCAGAAATGCTGCGGTTCAATATACTAGCTAGTGGAAAATCTCCACTTTATGACTACTGGAATTTTATTTATTTTCTTGCTTTTAATTAACTATTAGAGCGAAAAGTTAACAATTGATTACTGATGCTAATCCACGCTAAAATATTATGAATGATGTTTTTCTGAAATATTCTTTTTCCATCTTTGATATAGATGTACTCAGTTTTCATTGATATAAGAATAAAACTTGTGCACTGTGGTAGAGTGTAATTCCATTATGGGTAAATTTTGTTTTGATAAAGTCTCACAGTGTTATACAGTAATGTTTACTGATCAGTAAACATTATCAGTAAACATTACTGTATAACACTGTGAGACTTTATCAAAATAAAATTTACCCATAATGGAATTGTACTCCAGTTTTCTTTTACAGAATGAATGCCTAATTCATTACAAAAGTCTGCAATTCATTTTAGCGATAACATCTACTGGTTATGTAAATATTTTTCCATTCAATCTCTGTTTACTTTTATCACTTTAGAACAACATAAACGAATGAATCCTAGACAGAAAGCATCACGTTCTGGTCAAAAAAGTCCATCATTTTTAGTTGAAGAAGATCAACAGTCATATGTGATAGATTATGATCAAGAAGTTGAACCAAAATCATCCAGATCAACATACGAAATAAAATCTTATAAACCATTCACTGGAAATAACCCAAAATCGTTTCCTTCAGGTAAACTTTTTGACTTTTAAAGTAAACTTTTATTGGAACATACGTGGAGATATGTTTACTAAAAATATTTTCATTTTAGATAAATTGTTCAGAAAAATATTTTATGGAAATAGCTTTCTTTTCAGACTTATTCTGGTCATGTGATATAATAATAAAAACTATGAAATTGACATTCATTTTTATTCTTAACCTTTTAATAATTTATAAACTCTAAATTAATTTATCAAGCAGTTGTCTGACATAAAAGTGATGAAAACTTTTTTATCCAGGTTAACTGTATGTGTATATTGTCGAAATGGCCAAGTTAAACTTTAAGCACCAGTAAGTACCACTGGTGTATAATGTTGTAATCACGAATAAAATATGCCTAATGTTATTAGGTGGGATACCTGGGAAGTCCCAGGTTAGGTTTGGAGAAGATAAAGTCAAGATTTAGCCTAATGACAGGTTAGGGCTAGGTTAACCTAATAAAGGCGAAATTAGGGTTAGTTCGAGTTAGATAAGGCTTAGTTTAGGGATAATTTCACGTTAAGGTTAGGCTAAGGAAAGATTGTGGTTAATGTTAGGGCTAGAAAACCTAGACAATTACGTGCACAGAATGGTATTTAATTGCTCTTTTGACACTCTAATCCGGAACTGAGAGGTATTTTTGTTCCGCAACAGAGAAAGATATCCCGCGTAACAGTTTCATGCCTTTTAATTCAAAAGTCGCCTTAATCATGTGGTTGGTGCGTTCAAGGTCATTTGTCTGTTGATGGTATTTACTAGTGCTTGAAGTTTAACTTTGCCTTCAAAACTTTACTAAGTAAATGCACCAGCTAACGTCTAACTTCTGTCAAAGTAAAAGCCAAAATCTTTTGATGAAGACATAATAGATAAATATTTTACCAAATAATTAGGGATTGTAAGCGTCATCTTAAGTGAACATTTTGTGCAGTGACAAATCATAGCAGACACGATTAAATGACACAGTTTAAAATAAATATGCTTATACATGCTTAAACAGCGAACTAAATAGTCTATTATCAAAAGGAAACCATTTAAATACTTGTTTATACTGATTAAAAATGCCCATTAAAATTTTCAAAAGAATGGATACTGAACAAAGAGTACTCTTTTCGATAAATTCATCATCAGGCTGTACAATTATATATACATTATAGTGAATGAATGAATTAGTGTTATTAACGAAATTCATGTTTAAATAAAATCGAATCAGTAATATTGATAGATTACAGCTGAACAGCATCAACATAAAATAAGCTGAATGTCAGAAAAATTAGGAAAGGTAATAGTACAAATTCATGAGTTTATAGTCTCTACTGAGGGCCAGGGCAGTAGAAGGGCCTGGACTTGTTTCTTTTGAACACAGAGCACTGGTTGTTTGAGGCGAATTGCAATAGCCTTTGCTGTTTTGGAGCATGCGGTGCTTCGATGATTTTGGTAATTTGTTAAACACCCGGTATATTATAGAGAAGGATTCTTCTACGCTGGCTTTGTGACCGGTTTGCACCAGATGGTCTAATATCGAGCTGTTAATAGTTTTAACTACACCTTTACTTAGCCATAGTGGGATATGTTCTCGGGCACGAAAAATCAAGTTCCTAGAGCGACGGCCAATATAACTCGCTCCACAAGCGCAGTTGAATTGATAGATACAATTTGAAGTGGCTAGTCTAGGTACTTCATCTTTCAGTCGAGGTAGCACCACGTCGTGTAGAGAATAATACGTGTAGTTCACCAGCATTAAAAGTTCTTTGAACTGATTTTCTTAATTTCTTCGTAATTATCTCGCTTAATATATCGCCCATGAATTGTAGTCGTATATATAAAGGCTTCTTGTTTGCAGACAGTGAGTAGTCCTTTTCCGCTTTCTTTGTCATGTGTTTCTTGATAAATTTGTCCGGATAGCCATTTTCGATCAAAGTATCATAAACAATGCTTAATTCATCTTCAATTACTTCTTCTGAGCATATGGCTCTAACTCTTTGGCTGAGGGTCTTCACTAAATTTCTTTTGTAATTGATAGGAACGAAGCTGTGAAAATGCGTATATTGTCCTGTCCAAGTGCTTTTTCTATGCAAATTTCTTTTTATGCTACCATCTGATTTTCTTGTAAGTAGGACATCCAGGAAGGCAATTCTGTCTTGGGATCCCTCTTCGCATGTGAATTTCACAGACGAATGTACTTCATTGAATTCAGTAATTATTGTACTCCTATCAGAACCATTATCACAAAGAATTTCAAATGAATTACGTTAAGTTAGAATTAATAAACCATACGTCACCGACTGTTTCCTGTAAGAATGAAAATATATGCTTGAATAGCTACAGATATGATGATGAACGGCAGGTCTTACATCTTTCATGTTATTGAAAAAGTGAACAAAGAATTATTCGCATAATTAGATGAACATTTTGGGTTAAAAGGTCACTCAGTAGAGAATACGACTTTTGGTTGAAATCATTCTTAGGTTTTCATTTTTCATCAAATCACTTCTTCGATTCACACCAACTTTTTTATTTCACTTCTCCTATAACAAACAACCATTCTGTTTATGAATAAATAGCTATAAAAGGGGAATGACTGGAATAGTCAGCAGGACTAGAAGGATCCTGGAAACTGAAAGTGTAATAAGCAATGCTTTTCTTTCGTGTACTTATTACCTATTATCTGGTTCTCTTCCTCAAAATATTAAAAATACTTTCTTTTTAGCACAACGCCCTTCAAATGAAAGAATGTATACACTTAATCGAATGAAAATGATGTCAATGGAAGAGAATGAAGACGACGAGCCAAGCATTGTAGATGACGTTCAAAAATTTCAGAAAATCAATCACAATGTAAATTATTTTCGGACAGAACATACAGCCTCATCTTCTTCACACAAATATGCACAAAATTTTAGTTCACAATCTAATAAACAAAATAATTATGATGATGTGGTACAGTCAAGTCAACAAGTAACAAACGTTGAAGATAGGACAAGAAAAAGTAAGTTATGTGTGGTCTTTCACAGTTTTTCCGCCAAAATAATACTATGCCATTTTGCTGGTAAAGAAAGCTTAAATTTACTCTGTATTATCATCTTGCAACACCTATGTCTTTGGTTTTATGTCTTTTTGGTGTGCGATTAAGTTATCGGTGAAACCATCGTAGTTTTCATTTCTGTGTGTTTATTTTGCGACTAAAGCGTTTTAAAACCAATTTTTTAAGAATCTTGTCAGACATCATTATTTTAAATATCTTGGATAGAATTACATCTCGGCGCCAAAAGATGAAGTCGGTAACTTGCCAAGATTACGTACGAAATGAATGACATTCACATATTTAGTTACTGATAAGGGTTTTTCCGAAATAGAAGCTCAGTTGAAGGCATTTTAACCAGAGAAAAGAAGAACACCAAAGTGATTCACGTGAGCTACAAGTACTTTCATTCACTTCACAACGCAAAACTTTTATTATTTTAGGTAGGCGAACTTGTGCATATTTTGTATGTTCTATCAGATAAAAAAGCTTTAACCACCATGAAAGCAAAGATAATCTAATTCTCTGTTTGTATTACAATGTGAATTCACGTACTTTGCTTATTATCTTCATAGAAAAAAGTGTTAATGCACACATTTATAGATTTTTGTTTGAAGAAAAGAGCTGCAGACTTCTACCTGCTGTTTCTTCTGAAAATTAACGTAATTATGTATTCGTTGAGACTAAGCTATGCATTTGGTGAAGGTCAGAGTTATACTTTACTTTAGAATTCGAAATGTATCCCATATGTAAGACTTTTTATTATCTATGAACTATATGAAGTGGAATTTATTTAATCAAAACTTGAACTCCAACCAACCTGAAATGTTAAGTGCTCTATATTGCCTCGTGATAACTATCGGACGTCTGAAAATGGTAAATTACTTTTTATTATGATGTAAAACAAATGTATGCATTTAACCACTTGAAGGATTTATTTGGAAGATATTTCTTTTCAAGTGGAAATAAATCGATTCATTTCCTAGAAGAGAGTTAACTCTGGTTTGCGACAGGTAAAAATAAAGTTCTGAAGTGCAAAGACTGATAAAAGACGTCTCTTTGTTACTTCACTAAATTTTATTGTCATTAGCTAATACGATTATTGTAGAAACCTGTTTTTATTTTGTTTCATTAGGTCAGATGTCTGCCTACTGTAACTTCAAGAATATAGCTATATAGTTGCTAGAAAGCTATATAAATAATTGGTTTTCTCCGCTTACCTATCGTAACTGCAATAAACCCTGAGCCGTAGAAATTAAACTGCTTGTGAGAATCCTATTGAAATAAACTGCTAAGTGATAGCTATGAGTAATTTAAAAAATCTTTATATAAATTATCAACAGCTTTAATCATAATATCCAACAAGAAGATACTTAGCTTACTGTTTCCGTCTGGCAGATTGTATCCATATCCTCGAATAATTAATGAGAAAGCCAGACTTAAGGGTCTGTGAACTGTTATTTTTCACGGTCTAAAATAATTCGGCAACAATTTTGTATGGCGATGACAGATTTTCTTTCAGTTGGATCGAGTGCAACAAAATTTAGGTATCTAACTGTTTAGTACTGCTTAACAGTTCACTTGTAGAGACCGAAGCCAATGTGTTGTGGTCTGAATGCTGGAAACCGGTTTTCGTGTTATACTGTATACCTAACCAAAACTACCTTGACTTACTCACAGTCCTAAAGTGACACGTCAATAGCAAAAAGACAGTTATTTGAGATAAAATCTGTGTTACAGTTCAACAATAATTAAATTATCGAAAACTCAAAATTACCTTAACAGCATCATTAAGCAGCCATATAGATCAGGGAGTTCTCATGTACAAAATCAATTATCATATTATTATTATTCCTTTGGGTTCCAAGTGGAACATAGGGATTCAACAACACATCTCCACTTTATTCTGTTTCCTGCCATCCTCTTCAGCTGGGTCCACAAATGCCCATAATCTCTCATATCTTCCTCTCACGATCTCCTCCAAGTCATACTTGCAGGGACGACCCACTTGTCGCTTCCCACTGGGATTCCACTCGAGTAATGGCCTGGAGCGCGATGTCATTCGACGACCTCCTCATCGTATGCCCCATCCATCTCTATTTTCTCCTACATATTTGATGAGCAATCGGCTCTTGGTTAGTTTGTAGCCAGGGTTTCTTGTTGGTGATTCTTTCTTACAATTTTATCTTCAATATGGAACCAGAGAAGGCAACTGCTGATAAAAGTTTGTAAATTTCTATAAATGCTTTTCGTGACACCGACGCCAAGTCAGTGACTGAAACAGAACAACTGATTGACTTAACATTTTTGCTCAAAATCAGAATCTTGTTCTTTATGCTGAGGCTGAGTGCAGACGATTTCCAAACTGATTTTAGGTGCATGAAGGCATATCTTGCCTTTTCCTATTTTGACCGGCTTTGACATCTTCGCCGTCCCCCCAGTGGTTGAAACGATGCTTCCTAGATTAGTGAAGGAAGTTACCTCTTTCAAGTTTCCTCCACTGATGGTGACTGGTGCTTGTTTTTTTGAACGGTTGGTTGGTTATCTGCATCACCTCCGTCTTCTCTATGTTCACCTGCAGTCCTGTATCCGCTGCCAGCCTCTTCTGCCAGTTTGTTGATTTTCGCCTGCAAGTCATCGAGTGTGTATGACACGAAACCTAGATCATTCACGCGCGAAATCAACATCTTTTAGAGTTTTCTCATCGGTGGTCCAGCGTATTCCGGACTCCTCGTTCCCCACAGTCTGACGCATAGTCCAGTCCACCACAATTAAGAATATAATCGGTGATAACAGGCAGCCTTTTTTCACTCCTGTATTCACTTCATTGGCTTCGCTGAGTTTCCTGTCGTAGATCACCTGACAAGTGGCAGTGTCATACAGCCAACTGTTGAACGAGATTCATAAGCATTTTAGACACTGCACTCCATAGTGCTGAAGCTGTTTCCAATTTTCTTCGCCGTCATCTCTGTCTGTCAAAGACCTTTTCGATGTCGATGAATTAGGTAGAGAGAGGTTTGACTTCCATTCTACTCTTTGTTCTGTGGTGATGATGCGTAGAGTTGCAATTTGATCAGCACATAATTTGCCTTTCCTGAATTCAGCCTGTTCTGGGCGGTGGGAAGGAGTTATGTATCCAGTACATCTTTTGTTCTCTCCTCCTGTTCTCCTTTATTTTCGTCTTTCTTCTAATCGGTAGGCACCTTATCTTCCTTCCAAACGTTTTGCAATAATGGCATGAGCACATTCGCCACAGTCTATGGGTCCGTTTTCTTAGTGCCACAGAGGAAATTCTGTCTGGCGCTGCTGCCTTCCCGGCCGGTATTCAGTAGCTTGATCACATACAGGATTTCCGCTTTCGTTGAAGGATTGGTGTCAACAGGCAGGCAGTTGTGTGCATGCTGTTGTTGGTATTTCTCGGCAAGTTTCTTGTGACGGTCGATGTGGGAGTCCTTTAAAGGTCTGAGCGTAGGGCGTAGAGACCCTACCCCAGAAAACCAATCAAGCTTCTACAGAAACTTCGAAACACAATAAAAATATTAAAAATACCAAAAATATAAAAAAAAAATAAGTACTATATAACAAAACCGTTTAATTGAGATCAGACACAACTAGTACTTGCGTATCAAGAAGAATATTCCCAACAAAATTCTGTCATCAAAAATCATGCACTAAACACTTATGACAGACAGTCCAACTTTAAAATCCCCACGACTGACATCGAATTAATTCGAACAAATTATCAATCTCATCGCATAGAAGCAAAGAGAATCATGTAAATTAGGGAACAAACAAAAACAAAGGTAAAAAATATAGATTGAGTCATTGTGTGATATGCAAGTGTTAGAACAACGATATACAGCCTACGAGGAAACATCCAAATATGTATCCTTATTGTAACTAGATTGCTTAGGACAGATGTCTCAAACAATTATTCCATTACACCGCTTACTGTCACATTTCCATACTTAGGTTTAAAATAAGGAAAACTTTTACTCGCTAAAGTTGGTTTCTCTTTCAGTTTCTTGCATTCACAGCTAATGGCTTATACTATTAGTAAAGCAATGAGTTGATATTTCAAGCAATTAAAAGGTACAGACTAACGTTCTTTATTGGTCAACAGATTCCGTTTTTTCACTACGCTTCAACAGGTAGGAAGAATTTATTTAAATTTTCTTAGAAATAAGTCTACTTTAAAAAAAGAACTGTCATGATTTTTATTAGCTTCAATTATTAATTGTCGACAGTGACGTATTTATCGATCGATTTCCAAATACTCTGGATGATTTATAAGCAACAGCCTAAAAGGATTATCGCACCAAGGTTGTAAAAGGAATTAGTTTTATCCTTCCTGGGTATAACGCGTCTGTCGTTTTTTCTTCTTTTTTTGAAAATTCCCTTGACACTGTAATTAATCAAATGAACAAATAAATTAAGAGTAAACGATTTTTTTGTCCCCAGAATTCATTTGGTTTTTCTTATGCTGCTCTAAAGATCAAATAAAAAAAAAAAAAAAGAGTTTGAATGCCCGATTTTTGCCTAAGATTTACAACGTGATATCTTTGATAAAAACCAGTGATATGAGTTAATTGGGAGAACCATTAGTGAAACAAGTCTGTTACTCAATAGACTCTATGTCCCCATGAGTTATAATTTTTTTCAATACGCTCACTAGGAACCTATCTAAGTAGAAACAAGAGAATAAGTCCAAAAAAGATCAATTACAACGGAATAGTAGTTTGTAATATTCTTCTTGGACAATCTATTTATACAATTGATACTTATTTGGACTTTTCAACTAACTTTTTGACCATTATTCATCCCTTTTCTAGACTGTTTATCATTGTTCTGACACTTCCATATCACCTGTTGACTTAATCTTTATTTGAGTTATGCCACGGATTGATACCAGTTAGTGAAACACTGAAAACCATGGAGTACTGGACAGTTGTTTCATCCTAGTTTGG